TTATATATAATATATGCATTATATATGCACAATGTTAATGAATACACCATATATAATGAGGGTACATGTCTGGTCTAAGAAGTCCTTTATTTCTTGTGGCATCAAAAACTACCACTTGTTATTGCAGGTTCACATTGACTTAATATTTCTCTGGAATATTCTGACTTAGTACTTTCTTTGTGGAAGAAACAGCAATATCAGCACACCTTTCACCTACTTTAACTCCAGGGCCTGTAGAGTTCATGTCCACAAGGTCTGTTTTTAGCTATGTAATGGATTCCTGCAGCTAAGAGCATTCAGATGTTGTTCAAGAAATGTCTAATAAATAGTTGGTTAGTTTCCCCCCACACCTTTTCATACTTAAACTTTAAAGTACTAGGTCACAAATATCCAATGTTGAGGTAAAGTATTCTGTTCAGTAAGAACAATCTAATTTAAGGTTCTTGAACTGTTTCATATGGTCTAAATTAAATGTGGCATATGTATTTCATTTTTTAAATAATGTTTCATTTTCTACACTATGTTGGTTAATGTCACTTAAGTTTTTCTTAGCAAAGCCAAATTTACTTCTGCAGAAGTGTGTGATGAGTCAAGAATCCCTGAACTTTTTACTCAAGACTAGTGCTCTACCACTTGAGCCACAGCTCCAATTCTGTTTTTTTTTAAAGTAGTTAATTGGAGATAAGAGTGTCGTGGACTTTTCTGCCTGGGATGGCTTTGAACCACGATCCTCAGATCTCAGCCTCCTGAGTAGCTAGGATTACAATCATGAGCCACCAGTGCCTGGTTATACATTATATGTTAAATATAATCTCTGGAAGGTGTTCAGTTCATTTGGCTAACTGAATTGGAAAGTGGTAATGATCGAGTATGCAAAATTTTGAGGCCAAATTGCTGGCACTCATCATATCTTGCTGAGTGACATTGAGTGCATTTTTTTTTTAAACTCGTGGTGGCCAAATTTTCCCCTGTGTAATTAGGGGATGGTCCCAGCAGCTCCCTCATAACTTCCTGATAAATCACAGCTACTATAATTTTTATTATTCAGGTCCTGTCTAGATCCAGATCTTTCAGAAACTGTAGCCTTACCCCTGAACCACAGAACTGTCATTTTCATCAGGACTGCAAGCTCTTCCTATTCTACCAGGATCTACATCAATCGGCCTGACACAGGGTGCAACCTGGACGGAAGACTGGGGTCCATGTGTCCTCCAGGTATTACATGATGACAACTAACGTGATTCCTCTAGCCAATGTCCTGTGAGTCTTTTCTCATTCCATAGCTTGTTTCTGGGACCTCCTCAAAAAGAAGGCCTTCTTTCAAGAGGTGGATAATTTCACATCTTGGCAGATTGCAAAGAAGGAAAATTAACCAAGTATTCAGATCATCTTTACTGGAAAGATAAGCGTGTATTCTGTGCAGTATCCAAGTACTAATTAACTTACTAAATCTGTTAAGATTTTCCTTCACATTATAGATGTGCAATTTGGCATATATTTATGCTTTTGGTTGAACTACATTCATCCTTAAAGGGAAGGAATATAAAGTCCTGTGTTAGCCACAGTGGAATCACACTGTGGAACGCACTGTGTTCAACAGTTGTTTCTAGAGGAGCTTACAAATAAAATGTACAGCAACTATATACTCTTAGGATCTTTCATAATGACAATAATTTTCTTGTGTTTTTCTTTCAATGGGGCCAATTAAACTATGTGCACTCACTATCTGAATTGTATATGAACTGACATATAAATTGGGATAAGAAAACAAAAGTATGTGGCATAGGTATAGTAAAGAACAGCTTATTGTACAAAGCTGGGCAGCAGTGGATAACTTCTTAATTTACTACATTTGCAGCTCCAAGCTGTGTATTTATCACACAGAGTGCATATCTTGGGTATAAAAGGCACAAAGCCAGGGATTTAGTACATCCAAGAAGTGCCCCCATTGCCTGTAATGCACAATTTTTAGGCCTTCTTAGTATGTTTTGAAAAGAACCAGAGTCAATAGAAGCCTATCTCAGTTATTAGTCTGATGGAAACAAGGACAGCAATGACAAAAATCAGAGCATGCTCCATCAAGAGTTCATCTATATCTTTTCCAAAGATCAGAGTAAGAAACAGAACAAAACTTCTCCTCATGGAGATAAATCTGATGGGCAATCTAACAGGCTGGTGACAAAGCTCTCTAAAAAAAGCACCTGCTTGAGTTTTTAATGACTTGTCTTCATTTAGTTCCTATGTCAGAATAGATCTTTTTCTTCATAGGCCATGTTCCTGCCCCTACTGGTATTTCTGATTAGAATTCTAATCTTTGAGGGACTCAGCAAAGCCCAGACACATAGAGAAATCCCACACTATGACTTTGCCGAATTTACACAGAGAATGGCCATTTTTCATGCCTGGTTTTTGAGGTACACTTACAGTTAATCAAATGAAGGAAAGAGTTTCGAGTGATAAATATAAAAGAGTATCTATTAAAATAGCACAAATACTATGCATGTCCCCCTGGGCTTACTGAGAAGGTACACAGTGCTGTGGACTTTGAGGATAACACAAAGAGCCTCTTCCTGTTCAACATGGCTGGTAAGGAGTTTATGAGGCAATAGCTAAAGAGAGGAATTTTCAAAGTACGTACTGGATTTTTTTTTCTTTACCTGAATGTGTACATTGGGTAAGTGTTAGAAAATGTAAACAATCTTAGCTTCACCTTCCCAAAGAAAATGCCCCTAGCCATGCCATGGCTTTGATGGTTAAAACTCATAGGAACAACGGAAATTTGAAAAGTGAAGTGCTTCATGTAACTAATGGTGGATATTTAGAGACATATTCTCTAACAACAGGTCGACAGTATATTAGAGCCACAGAAGTTTTCACATGAGAAACCAGTCCAGATTCCTCTGCTGAATACAGACAGTGTCAGATCTTCAAAACTTTTTGTCTTTGTTTGTACTCATGCTTCAGAAATGCTGAGGTTGCAAACAAGCAATAGAAATTATACAGTACTGGTAGCACATTGGCTATTTCTCTCACCCTGTCATTTTCTTTCATTTAAATTTCTATGCCCCACTGTTTCTCTGAAATACAAGTAAAACCAGAATTGTTGAGAGAAGGGAACAAAAAAAATCAATGGGGAAGTTGTCTCCTTCTGAACAATTTCATTTCTAAGTAATCAAAAAACATCTTGTCCTAAGTTTTAATGAAAGCCTGAGAGAATTCCTACAGTTACTTGTTAGGTATTAACTTATATAAGGATATAAATATATAGTGCATATGCATGATCTAATAGTATATGATTTTTAATCTATACTTTTAGAAGAATTTAGTATGTCTGTTACAATTATTTTTATTATAAAGGTAATGTACAAAAGGGTTACAGTTACATAAGTCAGGTAATGAGGATGTTTCTTTTTGGGCAATGTCACCCCTTCCCTCACTCAATCTAATACATCTCAGCACGCACAGAATTTTCAGAGCTATTGGTAAAGGAAGAGTTAAAAATGGCACCCAGTAACTATGGCTAAAAGTTTATGTAATAACTTGTTTTATGATTTTGATAGCTAAATAATATTTGGTTTATGTTTGATAGATGTTCACAGAGAACGTTTGGAATGAAGATGAGATCATCAGTACTACCAAAGTCACACTGGAAACACTATTTATTCCTAGGAGTAAGGCGATATAACACCCTATTTACGGTTAAGGTAAAGAAATTATTTCTCTTTGGATTGATATTGCTATGTTGCAACTGTGTAATTGGGAAGAGATATAATAAATGGGGGTTGTGGTGAAGGAAAGTGCCTAGGTAATGTGTTGGAATGAGTCCACAAAACGTTGTTGCTTGTGTCTTTGCCTTTACAGGCATAACTGCAGCTGAACAGTCATTAGGGACTGAGTGGTGGTTTATCTTCTCCAAGGTATTACTCACCTTCAGGTCCCGATGGACTACGCCCATCTGATGGCAGTGTAGCACAGCCTCCAGGATCTGCTGAATGCAATGACTGCATGCAAACACCAGGGGGCGTGTGTTAGTTCCAAGCTTACACTCACTGTCTGTATACCCTCAGAGAGACTGGGTTCAAGTGCAGAGCTAGCAGTCAACTGGACTTGTGTTTTACCTCCTTTAGTATTGTGAACATATTGCTCAAGGAGAGTGACTACTACCTCAGAACAATCAGGATCTTGCCAGATGTGGGCCAGATGGTGGATACACTTTTTATAGTTTTTGTTTTTCCTAGAGAAATCCAATTTGACCATATTTCATTTGATTAAGCGCTCAGCTCCTGGTTATAAATTCTTCCAGGAAATGAAGAGAAAAAAAATCAAATACAATCTTTTGTATGCTTCATTGCTCCTCTTTCACCCCGTGAACCAAATATGGTTTTCCCACTGTCTTCCATTTTTTCCAGCATCATTCTGAAAGCTGTTAACTTTCCAGATCAGGCACCATTAAGGTTAAATTAGGATGCGTAATGAATTTTTGATCAATCATTAACTTTTTTGTGCTTTAATTTAGCTGGCAATTATTATCTCTTGCCTAAGGGTTCATCAGACTCAAATGGAGCAATGTGTTACCAGTTGTTCTGCTGTGGCAACCCACGGTCTCAGAACAGAAGTGGTGTTTAGGTCTACAGGCCAACATACATCACAGGCCAACTTTATCTCCAGTCCAAATGCTGGATGCTACAGTAAGGCCTACCCCAAATTGCATCCGGTAGCATAATGCTGGGAACTTAACAGGTTGCATTTTTAATATTTTGCTTTGCTTTTTTGTTTTTGGTTTTTTTTTTTGCTATGATGTATATTTAGCCTGTAGATGAGCAAACTGAAAGAGGTGATCATGCATTATCATTTCATCATTTATTCATTTCAAGAAAACGTTGGGAAAGGCAAGGGAACAATTTTAAGTAACACCCCCCACCTCTGCCCTTTTCCCAGAAAAACAAAACCAAAAACAAAGCAACTCCTTTGATTCAGATTTATGGACTCCATATACTGACCTTCAGGTCCCTGTGAACTATGCCATTTAGGTGACAATGATTTACACTTTCTAGAATCTGCTGTATACAATGACTGTAAAGATACAAGGGCAGAATGGGAAGGGAGAACATTTTAAAGGCACATAATCACATCAAATACAAATTAAAATGAAAGTTCAAACAAAACAAACAAACAAAAATCATATTTCTTCACATTTTTCTTAGCTTTACACTGGGATCACATGATGCTGAATAAAGCTAATTCTGGTGCTAACAAAAAATGACGTCCAACAAATAATTTGTGACATAGTCAGATGAAACAATTTGAGCTGTGTGTTTTTTTTCCTCATTGTTAAAAAAGATACAAATTAAATCAGTAGTATACTAAACTTGAAATCTCCATATTTAGGAAGAAAAAAATTATAAAGAATCTCCAAAACTGTTCTGGGAAATTTCTCCAGAAACATGAAATTTCCAGGAATTTTTTTTAATACACATCTAAACTGTTTGAAATCTGAGGTCACAATTAAACACAGGTATTGAAACAAAAGGATAAAAGACAGATGAAGTGGCAGGTGAAACAGGGTTAACAGAAAAAGGGAAACATGTACCATTTCGATTTAGACATGGTACTGACTGTAAAAATAGATGGATAGGAAAACTAATGCAAGTCCCCAATAAGAGGGATAACTTAAAGTAAACTCAGGATACAAAACAGCACTCTCCCAAATACAAAAATACTCTGTGAGAGGGCTAGGGGTTTTAGAAATAAACATATAAATAAAAAATTGTAGAGCCAGGCGCAGGTGGCTCACGCCTGTAATCCTAGCTACTCCGGAGGCTGAGATCTGAGGATCACGGTTAAAAGCCAGCCCGGGCAGGAAAGACCGTGAGACTCCTATCTCCAATAAACCACCAGAAAACTGGAAGTGGCGCTGTAGCTCAAGTGGTAGAGCGCTCGCCTTGAGCTGAAGAGCTGAGGGACAGCGCCCAGGCCCAGAGTTCAAGCCCCACGACCGAAAAAAAAAAATTGTAACCCACCCTCTGAGACTGGTAATTCTCCATTTCCACAGACTTTAGTGATACAAATATTTTGCTTGTTTCCAAATCAACCTGCACCATTGGTATTGTTCTTATGGAAAGGCCATCTATGTCAAATTGATGGCTAATTCAATTAGAAGAAATCTTTTCCCTGGCACTCAGAAGGTCCCAAGAGTTACCACCTGGCACAAAATAATGTAGAGCAAATCATGCTGATGGATTCTGTACTAATTCACTGTGTAAGTCAAATACAACTGTGGGCAAAAGTACATGTTTGTGGATTCAAGAATGAGTTACACAATTTGGTAGGTATATTTTTGATGATCTCATTTATCAAATAACATTACTCTAAAGGAAAATATTGAATTAAAATACAATCAACATCAGACTTACTGATCATAAAATTAATCACGATTTTGATTTTTTTAGCTTTTACAATTAATGATACCAACAAAGAAGCTCATTTTAGTGTGTGTTGACTACATGGTTTACTTAAGCATTGGTTATTATTTATAAAGAGTAAGTGATTAAATAAAAATCTATTGTAATGTTTTATTTCATATTCCTTTTGGTAATAGTTTTTTTCACATTTCTTAAACAATAGTAAAAATTATTAAGTAAGAAAGAAAACAATAATTTATATTAAATGAACTTTACTCTTTACTAACTAGTAAGTGTAGATTTAATTCTTCAACTTAAAGGTTAATAAAGAAACAGACATTTGAAAATGATTTGCGAGTTGGACACTGGTGTTTCACAACTTGTAATCCTAGTTACACAAGAGGCTGAGATCTGAGGATCACAGTTTAAAGCCAGCCCAGGCAGGAAAGTCCACAAGACACTTATCTCCACCAGCAAAAAGCCACAAGTGAAAGCATGTCTCTAGTAGTAGAGTGCCAGCCTATAGTGGAAAAAGCTCAGAAAGAGCATGATGCCCTCAGTTTTAGCCCCAATACTGACATATACACAGATACAAAAAAATTGTTGGAGGAATATATATATATATATATATATATATCTGGATGTGTATATATATATATATACACATATCTATATATATGTGGATGTGTATATATATATATATACACATATCTATATATATATACTCATGCTTAGGTGAGATCTTTTCTCTCTCTCTCTCTCTCTATATATATATATATATAATTAACTCTCAAGCTATTAATGTAAATACACTTAAAGGATCCAACTCACAAGTCTTTTCTATTATCTATGTATCATTCTTCAACAGTGAAAACAGTGTCCATCTAAATATCAACAATATTATTCAAATATAACAGTTTTCATATAATGTTGAAAGGCAAACTAGATGAAAATTCTTTAACTTGCCCAGCACCAGTGTCTCACACTTGTTTTCCTAGCTACTCAGGAGGCTGAGATCTGAGGATTGCGGTTGGAAGCCAGATCAGGAAGAACAGTCTGTGAGAATCTTCTCTCCAAGAAACTACTCAGAAAAAGCCAAAAGTGGTGCTATGGCTCAAGTGGTAGAGCAGTAGCCTTGGGCAGAAAAAGGCTCAGGGACAATTGTGCCCAAGCCTTGAGTTCAGGCTCCAGGACCAGCACTAAATAAAAATTATAAAAAGTCTTTAACTTGTTTACTACCATGATTAAAATGATCATTTCCCTTTCAGTATCTCCCTTTTCTAGGGCCTAAGGTGAAGAAAGCTCTGAGGTAAATGGAGCAAGCAATGATTCAGTCATCATCACATAAAGGACACCACACAGTCAACTTGACTTTAGCAGTAAAAATTCCATTAAGAATTAGAGTGAAATCATGTACAGATAGATTCACAGAGTGTCATGAACAGTAGCCCAAAATAAAATTAGAAGTTGAAAAGGGAGCTTGGGTATGCATGTGTACTTTGGAAGGATGGGGGAACCTCAAATATGAGTTTAATATCTACACATGGTTCCCTCCAAGATTGGGGATAATACAGAACAGGGCAGTATGACCAAAAACCGACTTCTCATAATATCTCATGGACATTGCTAATGAGGTAACTGTTCTTGATTAGAGTTTTAAAAATCAGTGACAGCTACAGGATATACAAGGAATGCTGAGAAAAATCAATAGCACTTTGTTTAAGTAAGATTTTTAATGTTCACTAAGCAAATGAATCAACGTTATTTCATTCTAAACATGTTAGCCTAGGAAGATCCAACTTAGATAAAACAGTATTAAAATTTTTTTTTGTGAAAGTTTTGGTAATCAACAAGATTAGGGAATTACTCACGAAACCTCCAAAATATTCGATGCCAGTAGCTTATACCTATAATCCTAACTACTCAGGAGGCTGAATAGCCCTAGACAGGAAACATCATAAGACTCTTATATCCAATTAACCAGCATAAAGCCAGAAGTGGAGCTGTAACTTGAGTGTAGAGTGCCAATCTTGAGTGAAAAAGCTAAGAGATAGAGCCCAGGATCCAAGTTCAAGCCCCACTACTGGCACACACACTCAAACAACCCTAACCACAAATAATACCTGAATTCTTTCAAGTGAGAGTTCTAAGGGTTTGAATGAAATTTCCAAAGCATTAAAGCAACCAAGAGCCATGATTTAAGAGGTACCAGGGCTTGGATGGATCTGTCATGCTTAGCAAAACACTTTGTGATGACAGAAATGCTCTCTTCTTTCGGTGGCCCTCAGCTCCTATGACAATGGAGCCTTTGAGCTCCTACAAAAAAACATTTAAAGCAGATCCTCATCATCCCCCTGCTTGGAAGACTCATCCTAGAGATTCTTAAAAGAGAGAAACTTGTTCTAACAAGGACTTACGGATGATATTTAGACATTCTTTTAAGTACTGACCATCATGGTTCATTTCTGTAAGTAAAAGTATGCTGCCCAGTGTCACTTGACTGATGAGTCTTATCTCTTGCCCAGAGCAAGTCACTTACCTGGCATCAGCTTCACTGTAATATTCTCTCGCCACGATGTCTTCAAACAGCTCCCCTCCAGTAACTCTGTGAACACAAACAAGACCTTAAAATAAAAAGCATTACTGTATAGGCGGATAGTGTTTATCAAGAAATTTCCCCTTGTGTTACCAAAACCGTTTTTAAAGCTATTGTTTCACATAGTTCTCTTAATAGTCAAATCCATATTGGTCTACATTTCTCTGTCACTTATTTCTTTGTCTTTGCATCCATAGATCATTAAGGTCACACATTTTTCTACGTGTCATAAATATACTCAGAAAGATCTTTTACAGTAAATTATTTCTATGGAAGTCTTTACTGCAGTTCTGGAGATTTTAGCTGACATCTGGTGAATAAAGTTTCATAGTTTAGGAGCATTTTCTGAACAAAAAGATACAATCCACATCACAGGTAATGAATCTGAATAAGCCATATTGCCTTTGATAGCTGTTCAGTATTTAATGATCATATGAATGTTCTCCAAATAAATACACACAAAGGGGCTGGGAAGGTGGCTCAGTGGTAGAGTGCTTGCCTTGCATGCCTGAGGCCCTGGGTTCGATTCCTCAGCACCACATAAGCAAAAAGAAAAATCCAGAAAGTGGTGCTGTGGCTCAAGTGGTAGGGCGCTAGCCTTGAGCTGAAGAGCTGAGGGACAGGGCCCAGGCCCCAAGTTCAGGCCCCACGACCGGAAAAAAAAATAAATAAATACACACAAAGAAATATTCTTCTAAAAAAGTAGGATCAAAAAATGTCTAGTAATAAGTAAATTGTATTCTTCATTTTATATTAAATGAAGGGAACTGTTTCACAGCCAAAAACCAACATAATGAATAGTGTTGCATGTGTGTTAATGGGCACTCACACATTTACATATTGCAGGACATATCTAGAAAGAAAATTCTCACAGATATCAAAAGATTACTAATATTAGGAACATTTAAATTTTTTGTTGGAAAAATATTGACAATTGACTTCTAAAATGTTTCTACCCTAACATGTCAAAGTATCCACAGACCCTAATCATTACCACTAAGAATAAGCTAACACACCTGACTGGGAAATAAGTTTTTATGTTGGTGCACATTTTTAAATTATTCTTAGTGAGGAGAACCATTTTAATATGCATTCAGGAGTTATTTCATCCTATGTCATGAAGGTTTTGTGTGTGTGTGTGTGTGTGTGTGTCAGTCCTGGGGCTTGAACTCCAGGCCTTGGTACTGTCCCTGAGTTTTTTTTGCTCAAATCAGGTGCTGTACCACTTTCAGTCACTTCTGGTTTTTTGGTGGAAAATGGGAGATAACAGTCTCAGGTTTGCCCAGGTTTTAGAACCATGATCCTCAGATCTCATCCTCCTGGGTAGCTAGGATTACAGATCTGAGCCAACAAGGCCTGTCCCTCAACAAGTCTTTTACTGTGCATTTATGCATTATGTCTTCGTCTGCTATGGTCTTGTTTGACTTTAAAAGCAGATTTCAGTTTGAGGGTTTAACCTTGGAATAGAACATTCTATTACCTCATGAATCTTTGCCATTAACCTCTGAAGCTGTTTTACCACGATCCCTGTCTATTGGTGAGAAAATTGAGGCTAATGAAGTCAGCTGCCCAAGACCACACAGCCTTAATATTTGCTCACACAGGTAGCCATCCATTCCACAGCCCATGCCCTCAGCCATTGGTGGGACAGCCTTTCCAATAATTACACTGCCATTCTGTCTGGATGTTCAGAGGGAATCAGTCATTTGTAAAGGCCTCCGGTAAAGCCTTTCAGTATGATCATTACAGATTATGACTCTAAGTTTTTCTTTCTGTTTTCTTCTTCGCCTTTTTTTGGTCCAGAAAGCCCTAACATTCTAAAGATTCACAAATAGTAATTAACTCTTCAAATCATTGAATCATTATGCTTTGTATCATAGCAGAACTCTAGCATCAATGCATTCTCCAATCTCTAATTAGTTAATTAATCTGAGAGTTTATTCATGGAACTGATTTAATTTGTGGCATTATACAAAATTTCACATAGCACGTTAAAAGTTTTAAAACTCTGTGGAAACTACTGCTTAATTTTGCACTCCATTAAACACTAATCTGTATATAGAAATGTGTTTAAAATATGAAATTTAACACTTTCTCTTTAAGTCAATGAATTCTTTTAGAACTCACATATTTTCCTCAGACATTCATCACTGATGCAAAGTGATAAAATGGAATCATTCACATAATATTATATTTTATGAATGCTGGAGCTTGAATTCACGGCTCAGGTACTATCCCTTAGCTTTTTCACTCAAGTCTGGTGTTACATCACTTATGCTATAGCTCCACTTCTGGCTTTTTGTGGTTAATTGGAGATAAGAGTCTCACAGAAGCCAGGCACCAGTGGCTCATGCCTATAATCCTAGCTACTCAGGAGGCTGAAATCTGAGCATCACAGTTCAAAGCCAGCTCAAGTAGGAACGATTGCGAGATCCATCTCTGGAAGTGGCACTATGGCTCAAATGGTAGAGTGCTAGCCTTAAGCAAAAGAAGCTCAGGGACAGAGCCCAGGCCACAAATTTAAGTCTCAGGACCAGGAAAAAAGATGTACAAGATACTGTTAGGTTGGGCAGGGAGGGGGGTAGTTGTGGAGGTGGGAGGGAAGGAATGGTAGGGGAAAAACAAAGGAGGAGGCAACAATGCTTGAAAAGAAATGTACTCATGACCTTGCTCATGTAACTGTAACCCCTCTGTACAGTATTTTCACAATAAAAACTTATATAAACTTATGATTAATATATTGGATAGTATGCAAGTGTATACAAATATATTGTCTATGAGACTCTTTTATTTTGATAAGTTACAAGCTATACCTTTGTCGGGATGCAAAGCCAAAGTTCACCAAAATAAAGCAGGAAGTAAGTCCTGGAAAGGCGAGGGGGTTGTCAAGGGGAAAGTGGTAGACAAAGGGAGAGGAAAAGATGGGGGATGAGGAAAATTCAGGCAAGCATCCCATGCATATCCTACAAAACTAAGAAAAGTGAGAGAAGGGGGTAGAGGAGGAAGGGCTAGGGGTAGGATGGGTAAGAATGTTGAAAGGGATGACATTGATCAAGATACATTGTATTTATAAACTGCTTTGTTAAATGACAACTCCTTTGTACAACTACTTAAAGATAATTAAAAAACAAGAGAAAGGAAAACGAGTCTCACAGACTTTTCTGCCTGGGCTGGCTTTGAACTGCATCCTCAGATTTCAGCCTTGTGAGTAGCTAGGATTATAGGCGTGAGCCACAGGTGGTAGCTGGCGAGAATATGTCTAAATAGTGGAAAGAATGAATGCTAGAAGATGTGGCCAGAGATAGTTAGCTACATAATCTAAAACTAAACATTAAAAAACCAGAGCTGGAAACGTGGCTCCAATATTAGAGCAGCTACATGGCCCGCAGAAAAGCCCTGAGTTCAAACTCAGCTACCTACCCCTTCCCCAAAGGAAAATATTTATCTTTCATTTGTTCTTTTGTGGATACATGTCACTGCCTAACTTATATTCCAATTTCTCTCCTCACCCCTCCATCAGTGTTCTCCTTAGTCCCGTTCTAGCTACGATAGACTCTCCAGTCTATTGTTCTAGCCGCAATAGACTCTCTAAGTGCATCCAGCTTCACCTTGCCCCAGGACTCTTTCACATGCTCATCTTTCTTCCAGGGCTTTCATGACCATTAATCCTCAAATCTTAGATTTTTATATCATCCCTCATCCATCAATATAACTTATCATTTTCCCTGCGCCATGAGTTATTCTTCATAACCCCGGAGTGCCATTACAACTATGTGTTTGCTTGAGAACTCATTTGTTGATGTTTGCCTTTCCACTAAGATGGTAGGTCTTCATGGGCAGAATTGGTTCCTTTTCTTTCACGTGAGTTGTGCTGGAATCAGCATTGATGCAATAGCAGGGGCCTCTCTCTCTCTCTCTCTCTCCATCTATATCTTTACTTCTCTTTATATAGAGTATATAATCTCAGGTGGGTAGACATGGAGGATGATCATATGTCCATACCATAATTTTAATATTAATGATGTCTTTACATTTCTATAAGAAGGTAAAGTACTTTACCTTTTTGGTTGTGGGGGCGGTACTGGGTTTGAAATGAGGGCCTCATGCTGGCTAGTTCAAGCCCCAGTGACAAGACTAACAAACAAAATCAGTGCTAGCTTGATTGCTATGGCTTATTTAATAAGGTTAATTGTGTATATAAGATATTTTCTAACAATACTGCATAATTGAAAAAGAGGATTAGCTGTGGGTATCCAGAAATGATGTTTCTAATGGATTGGAAATTGGAGGATGGAAATCAAAGAAGACAGAGAGTTGCTAAAATAGGAGAGTCAAAGAGTTTCTTATTGATCCTAAGATGAGTAGATATTACTGAGTCATGCTAAGAATCACAAGGATGATCAAGCTAAGAGACAGATTGCTGGACTTGTTTCAGTTGAAAGCTGAAGAGATACAGCAGGCGTAAGTGGGCTATTAGGTTGTTATAAGCAAGACAACATACAGTGTATTTATGAGCACAGTTGGGCTTGGCATCATTAAGAAGGAGGTGGGTCAGATGACAAGGCCTGCATCTTCTAGTTTACTCATTTTACTCCTCTTTTTTTTTCTGCCTGAACACTGAGTCTTCAATCTACCCCTTTAATACCATGATAGCTTTCATCTTTTTTTCTTCTCATTTACTTCCATATCTTCCCTCACTTCTACAACTTTAGTTTATAATTCCCTTCTAATTTCACCTGTCTTTCAGAAACACTCTCCACTAGTCATATTCTTAAAATTGGTGTTCTCCTTCGACATCCACATTACAGTAAGAATGAAAACAGGACTACAAAATATAATTGACAGTCGATGGACTAAAACAGGAGCAGAAATGAAATGTGTTTTTTTTGTGTTATGTATAAGATAGAGTTTCTTATGTGACAAATTAGCCACGGAAACATACATACCAACCTCTCCTTGTATATCTTCTCTATCTTGTTAGTGGCTTCATGTTTCATTTAGTCTTTCTT